TACACTGGCACCCTTTTCTGGAAATGCTTAAACCGGAACAGTTTTCCGTTATAAGTATTTCCAGAAAAAGCGCATCTACATTGGCAGGATGCTTTTCCGGAGAAGCACTTTTTCCGGAAAAGCATCCGTGGCCAATCTAGACGCGCTTTTCCGCAAAAACACCCCGATCGTCATTTTCGCGATCGGGGCTTTTTTGCGGAAAACACTACTGTGCTGTCTACACTGGCCCTTTTCTGGAACAGTTTTCTGGAAAAGAACTTTTGCCCGAATGGGAGCAGCATAGTTTTTCCGGAAAAGCACTGATGATTTTTACAGTAGATCGTCAGTGCTTTTCCGGAAATTCAAGGGGCCAGTGTAGACAGCTGACAAGTTATTCCAGAAAAGCAGCTGATTTTCCGGAATAAGTAGCCAGTGTAGACACAGCCAGGCAGTTTTAAAGCTTTTTATTGAGCTCACATTTCAAATGTTATATATAAATTAAAAATGGTAAGTGAAAACTAACACAAGCCAAGATATGTTTATGAACAATAAAATATAGTTAGAATTAATGTAGATATCTTTATAAAGAACATAATGTAGTTTACAGCATTAATTCTTTTACATCTCTACTTTTGTTCATATATGAACGGGTTTGCACTAGTTTGTATTAATTAAATTTAAGTAGGATTTCTGAGGCAAGATCACCATTAATTCTGTAATCCTGATTTAAATCTGCAGTAAAACATTTCTCCATTTAGTCTGGTGGTTTTGTGTCATATTTCATATACTAGCTGTCTCTTAATTAAATCCATGATGGCCAACCAACACAGACTATTAAAATAACTGTACTTTGCACTTGACATATTTATGAGACAGATTCATAAGGGTATAGTCTGATACTTGAACTACTCACTGAGAAATGCTAATAAGATTATGAAGAAGATAAGATTAGTTCATCTATCTCTTTTTTCTTCTCTTTTTAGAGATTTATTTTTATAACTGCAATTCACTTTTTCTATTTCAAGAACATTAATGTTGCTGTACACACCCAGAGGTCTTTGAGTGTGGAAGTGAAATCTCACTAGTTGTTAATTTATAACAGCTCAGGAAAATGCATAAGTATAAATATATTCTCTTCTCATCGTGTTCCCAGAAATACAAATGTTTACAGATATTGGTAAAATCTTTGTATGGTTTGACATTTTTAAGATATTGTATACTAAGAGGTTGGGCTGAGTTAAAACATTTATTATTACTAAGTGCCAAATTGATACTTGAGAAGTCCTGTTGTGTAAAGGCTCATTCTAGCCCTGAGTGAAGAAGGCCCTAAAACTTATAATGAACAGAATCTTTTGCTACATATTTCATACCTGTACAGTGCACAACATCTTTTGTCTTTAAGACACAACAGAGTATATTTGTACATATTGTGGTTTACAGTGTATTATAGGGATTTTGAATATTGATTTAATGTTTTAAATTTTAAAATTGCATAAATTCTCCGAAGGCATGGATTGGTGCTTACAAAAATAATCAGACAAATCAATAAAGTTGTGTGACTTTAAGGATTGCTTGACATATATATTACAATCTTACTTGTGTACATGGACATCTCCAAACACCCTTCTTTGTTAGGGGCATTTAGTGATTTATCTGTTGCTGTTGTTTGTTTTAGAACTGTTGGCATACTAAGGATTTTGAGGGGGCAGAGTTCCAGATTTGTCCTTTCTGATTGGTTATCATAATTCAAGCGGGAGCAAAATGAGCAGAAATAGAGATGTGGTTTAATTAAGTGGTCTAAAAACAGCCTGGCTATTCCATCTATAGAAATAAGACATTCATCAGCATCTGTCTCTCTTTTGTTTGCTCTGTCACACATGCGTGCGTGCACACACACATTCACCTTTACCTTAAAGGCCCTTCATAGCACCCTGGCAGAGTAAAGGGATCTTAAAGTGAATATAAATCTAATTACAGCCCTTCACATTTGGGTCCATATTAAGTCCCTTTTGTACTGTCAGAGTGGACTAATGAGGCTGTAGTATAAATAATAAAAAAATCCATGCATCTTTTTCTTTTAATATACTATCACATCATTACTTCATACCAAGTTCCACTAGTGAAAATGTCAGAAGTAAAGAAAGTTGGACTTTCTCTTAAAGTAAAAATACTTATTAAATACTTCATCAGCTACAGTTGAGGGAGCTTCTCTAAACATGTTAAATTTCACCCACACATACTGTTGACACTAGTAGTAATTAAAATTTCTTGTTTCAGAAAATTGGTCCTATCAGAAATACTTATTGGCAATTATTTTTATGTTCTTCAAACCAAAGCTAACATAATTTGATTCACATGCAATGTTCTCATAAATGTGGTTCATACTGGGTTTTCTATGCCACTTAAGATTGTTAGTTGCCATTTTGAGCCTCACAGTAAAATAGAATTCAATATGTTCCTTTTTCTCAAGCTTTGAGAAATGTTTGAGAAACGCTTGTCTTGGTTTAATCAACTGTGAATAATTTACATTCTGAGTCTGACTTTTCAGTATAAGTGGATCAGACTTTGTTCAAAGCTTATAAAGTCTAATCAACTTGTTACATTCATCTAATTAAAGAAATCTCTTGCAAACTCTCAGGCATGATTTCATACCAAAAAGCTTTTTGTTGTGAAAAAGTCACACTTTCATCATGGTTTGGTTTTGTTTATTTATAATGTCAGGCCGCCTCTTCCCCAAAAACGAATATATAGACTTACAAATCTATGAGTCAATGTGTCTAGCTTAAAGTTATTTTTTGATTCTCCTACCTCCTGATGGACACACTGTATAGCTCTCTAAATTTATATAGATGCAGCTTCCATGTAGAGTTTTTTAGACTCAGAACAGCTCTCATTTCTGAAACAGATTACAAATATGTGGGACCAAATATTCCCCTCCATTTTGAAGAATGAAATGATGTAGTGACATACAAGAGTGTGAGTAAAAGTATGAGCTTATTTTGTGACCCCAGGTCCCTGAAGTATGCCTGGGTACCATTGTATCATGACAGAGGTCAGTATCCACTAACTCCAGTATTACAGAGAGGAGCATAAAAGTTCAAATTAAAAGGGTGGAAACATATTCCAGAAATCGAACTCATATCCTCTCACCCCCAGGAAGCCTTTCTGGAGACAGCAGATCCTGCAGATAGGGAGGAACAATTGATCTCCATGACACTGAATGGGCATCGTGATATAATTTAGCTCTATGTGCATCAGCATCATAGTGATTGATAGCATATGCTGGTTCACTGCCACATTTTCAGTTTCTTCTGATGGGAGACTCATGGGTTGGGAGAACTGGCAAGCAGGAAATACATGTCAGACTATCTCTCACTGCAACTGAGAGCTGGGAGGCCAATGAAGACAATAGAATGTCCAGGGAAATCCCCCCAAGTTCCTCAGATTTCAGGTTTCAAACCTCCTTATGTGAAAGACAAACTACAGAACCCATTGGATATGTTGAACAGAAACTGTATACATGCTCAGATCTGCCATTTCTATACCTTTGGAAAATCCTGAATGATAGACAGTTTGGTTCATAAAGTGTACATGTACCATCTATTGCTCAGCACATGCTAAGGTACATTACTGTTTGCTGGAGAAACCAGACACATAAATATGTGTGTAGCAAAATATAATTAAAAACAGCCATTGGTGTCTATGAATGCTAGGCTTGCACTGCCATTCTGCTTTGCACAGGTTATTATGGATGGGAAAAGAGGGGCATATACTAGGTAACCATGGATTGAGTCATTTGCCTATTAAGTATCCTTTCATATGAGAATAAATTTAGATGCGTGCATTGTTGTCTAAACAATGAACTGAGTTATAAGTCCATTGTAAAAAGTATATACTGCTTTAACTCTTAATTGTTGACAGAATATTTTCATGGACACATTGGACCCACAGAAGCATTGTAGGCCTGATAGAATAGAACCATTAGAAAAATTCTGTTTTTATTTGTTTAGCCCCTTCGTACTTTTGATGATGGCTGTGCTCTTAGTTGAAGCAATAATTACATAAGAAACATCAAATGCTAAGCTAACAGTAATTGATGGGATTTAGCACAGACATCTGGAAAAAACAGAGCAAGTGGCATCAATAACTAGGGACATCATTAGCATTTTGAGATGACCAAGAATGACGCCTCAGAAGGAGATTTAACAGTTGAATAAAATTTACAAAAATATTTATGAATATTTTACAATAAAAAACATGAATTCATTTCATTAATATCTATGATTTCTTTTCTTACTTACTGCAAAAAAAATATATAGAACCAGAGTTTTTTCTGGAAAGATTTTCATGTAGAGAAAAAGTTTTGACATTACAAATACTCATGTAATAATCTCAGAATCTTTAGCAGCCATCTTGAAAACTCTTTGTGAGTTTGGGAGACATTTATTCAGGGAGCATAAACAACACCATGTGACCTTGGTGACCAATCACTATGTTAATATAAACTGTTCATTGACAAATTTTAAATAATATCAAAATTTCAGAAAGGAATGGGGCTAAATTAGTATAAAATATCTGCTGCAAATAATTTGTGCAGCACTAAATGAGGATAATACTCTCGAAAACTGGGGCAAAGAGAAATCGAAAAGATAGGGAGGAGAGAGCACAGAGCAAAAAGGCAAGAAGGCTGTGAGAAGGCAATGCAAGCTATGTACAAGCTGGGCCAGCTAGGTCTTTCACAACAACAACAATACCAACAACACGTCAGCCTGAAATAAACAGAAAAGATAAAATATGAAGACCGAAAGGCAGATGCTCAGGGGTATCTCACTATGAAACAACGTTTTAACGTACTTGTCTCATTCCTTAATAATCAAAATTTCAGTAAGGATTCTATATGTAAAATCTTTTCTTGAATTTACAAACATCCATATTGTCATTTACTATAAGCGCATACTTAAAATAGCTGCTCATTCCCATATTATCTCAAACACTTGTTTCATATTTTCTTTGTTATTAAGGAAAAATATTTGTCTCAACATGAAACACCATGTCTAGCAGAGCTCGTGAGCTGAATGGCCCATCTTCTTTTATAGCACCTGTGGAAACCATTGCTTCAACACACCTGATGGTTTTGATCAACATAATTCTACCCATTTTCTGAATTCATGCAAGTATTCCTTCTATATTAAAATGAAAACCATTTACCAGAATGAAATTACAAAATGTAGCCTTTAAGAATAACTTGGCTTATTCTAGTCTATGTGGCTCATACCACCTTTGTCTGAATGCCTGCCAGTTGTATATGCGACTTGGCTCATGTTCATAAAGTCACACTCAGAAGTTTGGGGACAATAAGAACTTGTTTATCACTGATAATCATATGGCTATTGAAGTTGATAAATATTTTGGTTTTGTATTTATAATCAGATCTTTATACAAACAATCTTTTCTGTGTTCTTTCTTTAACTGTCAGCATTCCTGACTTGGGAGAATGCATGAGATCATTGTGCAATAAATTCAAGTGATGATCATCTTAAATGTAAAGGCTGACTCCATCTCTTCAAAATTCTCTTTAAAGGGTAAGATTCAAAGTTGAAATTCATAGTACATATCATTATGTAGCTAGTGATGATAACTGTACTTCTGCTTCATGTCCATTTCTGCTACAGTCATAGACTCAGTTTCTACATACTTTACAATTGAGTTTTGTGAAAAAACTGCTACTTCTCCGAAGCACTGATGAGAAGAGCCTTGACTCTACAGGAGTGTCCACGAATTATTGGGAGAAAAATCGCCAAAGCTACTATTTGCAGGAGATTCTTTCCACTGATTAGTTGATTATAATGATTTATTATTTACTTAACACCATTGTTTTCCTGAAGAGCATGTCATGCCCATTGTTTGTTTCTATTTGCATGCTTTTTGATAAATATAAAATGTAAATAATTGTCCTGGTGAATCATCATGCAAAAGGTTCAGTGAAGAAGTGAGACTGAAGTAGGGGAAGGGTGAACGATTGGCCGGCAGGAATGGGGAGATAGTTCCAAGCATAGGAAGCCTCACAGAGAAAGGCATAAAGATGAGAAGGGGTGAATACAAACTGAATGGGTAAGTGATGAGGCTTATGCAAAGGGAAGATAATGAAACTGGCAGGAAGAGGAAGCTGCAGGATATACCAAGGCATGAGCACCCAGTGACAGTATAGCTGTGATGATCAAGTTGGATCAAGTTGGCAGGGATACATTTGTTATCCTTTGGCAGGATGGTGAGACTGGGGTGCATCCAGTTCAGGCTTATAAGGTCTACTGGATAATACAGGTAAAGAGAAGAGCCCCTCCTTTTATGCACAGTGACGGGAGTCCCCTCACAGCATGCCAAGTTGTTACTATGTTGATACAGGGGCTTATGAGGTTGGGGGATGTCAGGCCATGAGTTTGGTTCCCACTCAATCAGAATTGGGGTGGCAACAGCAGCAGCAGAGCTGGGTATGGGAGCAGAGGCAATCCAGGCAATTGGGTGTTGGTATTCAGACGCATACCAAATGTAGGACCTCAGGCAGCAAGCCAACATTAATTTGTTATAATCTCATTGCAGATGTTGGTCAACTGGTCATGCAAATGGTAGCATGGATCTGTGGACACAATATTGTCTTTTGGACACATAGGCACATGCCCAAATTGCCCAAAGGTTTGCAGCTGGGCTTTGGTGATGAAGTGGTACTCGGTCGCCATGTAAAAAGGGAAATGTTATGGCATCAACTAATTCCAATGCTATATGCTGTAATGCCATCAGCTTCCCTCTCCTATAAATGTGATTCATCGTGAGGAAAACTATTTAGGAATGCTTAAATGGCTGGCACTAATACGCAGGGCAAGCAGGGATTTGGGACTGATCCTTGAACGTTTTCCAGGAGTTCACTTTCTTTGGACAGACATGCGTCAGTGCAGTGTTTGGTGAGGAGCCATGAGCTCACTCACGGTACATCTACACTGCACGATTATTTTGGAATAAGCTATTTTGGAAGAAAAACTCCATTTACACAGCAAATGCCAATTGAATAGCTCTGAGCTATTTCGAAATAAAGCATCCACATGAACTGGAGCTTCAATCACATTTAAAGCCCCCCAGAAGCACTTCAGGCATATCAGGGTATCAGGAAAGTAGTCGTTTCCTGTAGCTGCTAAACTCGTGCTTAAAGGGATGCCTCTGAATTGCTATGTCTCAGGCTCCTCTCTTTTGCCTTCCTCCTTGAGGGACAGCAAACCCATTCTACTGCCTGCTCTCGTTGCCCTTGTGAACACCATAGCACTTCTGCCTGTGGTGGACCTGCTGGAAAGCACCTGTCCAGGAGGCCCTGAGGGCTGGCTTCCTCTGGGCCTGTGCATTCTGTCCAAGGCCCTGCTCCTTCTGGGAGTATGGAGTCTGCCCCCCACATGCAGGGGGGGCAGACTTCACAGTCCAGGGGCCCAGTGAGGCTGTCAGCCATCCTAAGTTAAAGGAACAAATAGGAGCTCATTGTGGACTCCTATGATTTGTATGGCAGGGAGCCAACTCCCCATTCTTACAGCCCACAATAAGATCCCAACAATATATTTGCTGGAGGGACAGTGATGGAAAAGAGAGGGACCTGGAACCCTCCCCAGGGTAAATGTAATATAAACCTGTATTGTACACTGTTATCAGCTGGGTAGGCCCAGTCAACTAATAGTAAAATTGCAGCCTCCTTAAACCCATGTCAATGTCTCCTTTCCTTTTGGTATGGCTAGATAATGGGGAGATTGTGCCTTTTCCTGTGGGTGTCCCTATTCCTGCAACTAAGATGAGAATGGGAGAAGAACACAAGCAGAATGGGAAGTGAGGAGGCAAGTGGAAAGGGAATATAACAAAGGGAAGAGTGAGAAATCCCAGTAAAAATGTGAACAGTTAATACTTTTAATATAAGCCCACAAAGCCTACTGCTATCTGACTGTCAATGTTGTTACAAAAGTTGCTCTGACAATAGATGGAAATACCAGGTTCTGATTTTTCTAAACTGTCCATTGTAAAGCTTCAGTTAAAATATTGTAAGTGTACTATATCAGATCCTAAAATCAGACAATACTGGGTTAGAAATAAAATCTTAGCTAGTCTTATAAAAAAAGAAAAAAAATCTAAGTACACTATGTAAATCTGTTGCTTGTATATGCATATCTGATAATTACATAGGTAAATTAGGCACAACGAATGTATGTACATACTTGCACATGACTTACCTTCAGAAATGTGGAATTCAGCCTGAGTTAAAGAGCCATACACCACTAGACCACTGGCATACAGTGGGTTTTGAGGGCACTATTTGACAAGTCTTTGAAGGCAGGTTCCATTATCTATATTATGTGCTGAGAAAAACACAAAATTAATAGTGTCTGCAAAGAACAGAAATCTTTAATCTCAGATTGTTCCACCCTTACTCAGGCTAGCAGTGTGTAAATCACTTTGGGGTAATTTTCAAAAAGTATTTAGGTGTCTAAGGAAGATGAACAACTAGTGGGATTTTAAAAATGTCTTACATGCCTAACTGGCTTTGAAATACTATATTAAGCAGCATGCAGCAAACTTAATTAAACTTCTTGTGATATCCATGAAGTTCAGAGATGGGTCTAATCAGCAAAGTTCATATCTAAATCTGATTTTTTTTAAAAATCCATTAGGGTTTAAATTTGGAGTTTGGGTCATTCTGTTATAATAAAGCTTAGGAGTTATCCATAGAGTCTAAATCTGGACCCAAGCATTCCCTAAACTGGAAGCTGTTCAGTGGCATCATATATATATAGTAGCCCAGGCTACGTCTACACTGGCCCCTTTTCCGGAAGGGGCATGTAAATTTCACTAGTCGTCGTAGGGAAATCCGCGGGGGATTTAAATATCCCCCGCGGCATTTAAATAAAAATGTCCGCCGCTTTTTTCCGGCTTTTAAAAAAGCCGGAAAAGAGCGTCTAGACTGGCCCCGATCCTCCGGAAAAAGTGCCCTTTTCCGGAGGATCGGGGCCAGTCTAGACGCTCTTTTCCGGCTTTTTTAAAAGCCGGAAAAAAGCGGCGGACATTTTTATTTAAATGCCGCGGGGGATATTTAAATCCCCCGCGGATTTCCCTACGACGACGAGTGAAATTTACATGCCCCTTCCGGAAAAGGGGCCAGTGTAGACGTAGCCTTACAGTTTTTATGTGTTTTTTTTTAAGATAGAAAAATTAAGCATATATAACTTGATACAGGGAAATGTGTTTACACCCACTAAGTAAAATAAATTGTATTTCAGCCTTCCTGGGTGAAGTTTAACATTGTTTTAAATGATCAGCTGCAAGAAAATATTTCTCCCATGTTGAACTAATCTAATTTCACACCCACACTTTCTGAATGAGCATTCTTTATTTTTCTGTGGCAGATCCTGGACTTTACTATTCAGTCTACACCTTTTTTCAGTTTGAGTCAAGTTAAGTCACACAGATGGCCATTCTATGCCAGAAAGCTATGCAGATTAATACATATATATTAGTGTATAATACTAGAAGAGAGAGGTAGCACCACGGCGGGAGAGGAAGGGGGGGGGGGTGGTGACGTGTGGTGTGACAGCAGCTCCAGGCCCCACCCCCTGGCCGTGAACGTCACCGCCCCGCCCCCCTTCGCCTCCCGCCGTGGCACTCAGCTGACTTCTGAGCCGCTCAGCCAGGCTGCCACGTGGGAGCAAGTGGCGCAAGCGAACGCTTGGGGTCCGCGGTCCCCCAAGTGAGAGGCAGGAGGAGGAGGAGAAGACAAAGAGAGAGACAGAGAGAGAGGCAGGAGGCGGAGCAGAGCTGAGAGAGAGAGGGGGAGGCAATAGGAGAAGGAGAGAGAGAGAGACGGAGCTAGAGACTGGAAGCTCAGGAGAGAAGACCGACATGGAGGAGAGACCTGAAAATCCCGTCTTATGACGGGCTAATTGACTAGTCTAATTATAATAGGCCTTTCACTACAGAATCACAAAATATTGAGCAAAGTGACCTAGTGTTCAGCAAATATTTATTTTATAAAAATAAATTACTCAATCATTTCAATAGTTTCTTAGTTCCATGTACACATACCCTATGCAATCCAATAAAACACAGCAAAATCTACGTAAATGTTACGC